TTATAACCAATAACCACTTTTACTGGTATTTTGAATTTTTATTTCTGATTAATATGTAAAAATTGGGATTTATAAGCGTTTATTATATTCATACCACATTCATAATTCAAATAATTGACACTTTTTAGAGATATAGTCTCATCATTTAATGCTGCTATTCGATTAAGGTAATCAGCCCTGGACAATGTGACCACACAAACTGGTAAACAAATTTGCTGTTTTAGCAATTAATCTGAGGGGACAAATCGTTTTTCTAATTACTAATAAACTATTTTTTTGAACAATTATTTGATTTTTTTGAACAATGATTAATTTTAAATAATATAACACAACATGTCTTTTTTGTTATTTCTGTGGCTTGTCTGTTGTTTAATTTGACATTCGATGTCATTGATTAGAATTTATTGAGGAACTACGTATCAGTCCGACTTTTCTAATAATAAATTTAATATCAGTGTATAATTTCGTGGTTTACCGAATGAATATGCAGTCAGTCTTGGAAATCTCGAGTCATTTAGGATTAATTTCAGTCCTCTATAAATACTGACGATATTATATCGACTCATTCGATATAAATGTATAATTATTCATCTCTGAAGTTTATCTAATATATTGCTTTAGTATTCTGTTCTGCCAAATTTTGGCTAATCAGTTAAATATCTAGCTTACCATTGCTGGCAGGATTACCGCGTTGAATGCAAATCTTTACAGACTAAAGCATGGGAACATAAAACAGTTTATATCCAGTGCTATGCGATAGTTAATAATCTGACCTAACCTGCTCTGCTTGTTAAAGACGTCTGATTTACACGTAGGTAAGATTTCTTATACTGAAATCTACTCATTACTCACCACTGGCTGAGTGGATATAACAGCTGAGCATTCGTAGTTCGCCCTGGTTACGTTCCCGATAAACAACTTGGCTGCTTCGAATGTTTAATGTACTCATGTATAACGTGAATTTTTTGGTAGCGTTTCCTTAGAAAGTCCTCCATGAAGACATCTCTACCCTCAAGCAGAGATCTCACGAGTGCTTTGCTTCTGTCAATCAATTACCCAACCAAATTTCTTCTGCCGAAAATTCACAAATACTAGTCAAACTACTAAAGAGAGAACGTTTTTCCTCCATTTGATACCATTAATTCCTGAGAAAGTGACAGAATTTCGAGACATAAATTAAATGATTTACTATTCCCCCCTCTCTTTTTCTTTGTGTTCTGCAATTTTTTACTATATTTTCTATTATTTCTACTTCGAACATAAATAAAATGCTGTTCTGGCTTTGTGGTGGGAGAAGAATAAGATATCTAAATCATTTAAAAAAGTAAGTGATAGTATAATACAAGTACGCTCTAGCTCAAATCATAACATATTTTGAGGGCAAAGTTAAATTTTTAAAACCTGACAGAAATGTCAACTTAAGTCCTGCACTTCATACGTCGTGTTAGTTTTTTGTTTTGTTTTGATTCATAACTCAGAAAACTACAGACCAAGAAAATGCCGACTTGCCGTAAAAATAGATTCAAGATGACATTGGAAGGCGAATTTTTTATTTCACTCATTTAAGTCATTGTTTATGTTAAATGCCACTGTATCAGGCTGCTCAATGGACTGGAAAGAAATTATTTGTTGTCACATTTTGTTTGCAAAAAGTAAATTTTATTGTAAAACTATGTCCTTCTTGAAAGTTATGTTAACTTTACCGGGATTGTTTATATGCTTGACATAAGGCATTTTTGTTTTTACTTGAATGATTATTGTTATTGTTTTGTTGAATCAATGATGGTAGTATCCTAGCCATCTGAATTTGGAATGAAACGCCCCATGGAAGGGTATCAGAGGCTCTTATTCTAGACGCTAACATCTCAATAAGACTTACAGACCGACGGAATTTACATGCCTTTAGACTGTGTAGATATGGTATGCACAAACATCAGCGCCTTATCGGGATACGAATCCTCGCCCATTATCATGGCAGTTCGTTCAATTAATCAGCGGTTGCTATGAACGGGAGGCTAGCAAACGGATTGTTGCGGAATATTTTTAAAACTATCAAACCCAGTAGAACAAGTTACTGAAATTAGATTGTTTAAATTAGGGCATTTAACGATTAAATTCAGCATAGGCATTTATGTAACAGCTCAGCTCATCTTCCTTTTGCTGGTTTAGTATCGATCTGCACTCTGTAATGCATCTTGAACAAACCTGTTTTTGTCAAGAGAACTAAGTATTCATTGGGTCTGGCCATTCCCCGACGAATGTCAAACCACAAGGTGCTTGAATGTTGATGGTAAAAGATCTCAAATTGTGAAACATTTTTTGGATTCTCTATTAGTTTTCAAACCATTTGAATTAATCTAATATTCTTGTTTGATTACCGAAATATAAAATTATCGCAATAAAAAATCTGAGGAAAAGAGTTCTTGTTTATTGAATTTCTCCAGCCTCCCTTTTCGACTAAGCTCAGTGGTTTCAGTTTTTCATTCTATATCAATATTCTCCACCTTTTAGTCAAGCGAATTATATATTTAATACACCTTAACTATTAGAGCAGACCAATGGCTGTATCACTCCCTTTTACCTAAGGATCATAAGTTTGGTACTGAATGGAATTTCATTCAGTCATTTTATTTAAATGAAGATACAGGGGTTGGACAAAAATATGGAAACACCTTTAAAAAAACATGTTTCTTTGCTTAATATGGTGTAGGAAACCCGTTGGAATCCAAAACAGCTTGCAGTCTTCTCGGAATGGATAAATACAGTTCCTGTGTGTTTGCCAAGGGAATATTATACCATTCTTCCTGCAAAACGGTGGCAAGTTCCGATAACGATGTTGGCGGTGGATAACGAGAACGCACATTCCGTTCCAATGTAGACCACAAAGGTTCGATAATATTCAGGTCTGGTGACTGTGGTGGCCAGGGGAGATGGGACAACTCATCCTCGTGCTCAGAAAACCAGTCCTGGACAATGTGAACTGTGTGAACAGGGGCTTTGTCGTCTTGGAAGACACCATCACCATCGGGGAACAAAGTTTGTACCATGGGATGAACTTGATCGGCCAAAATGTTCACGTAAGTCTTGGCAGTCATGTGCCCTGACACAGTTATCATGGGGCTAGCAGAGAACCACTATATGGCTGCCCAAACCATAACAGAACCCCCGCCATGTTTCACTCTTGGCAACAAGCAGTCTGTATTATAGGCTTGAGATGGCGTTCTCCAGACGTAAACTCGGCCAGAAGTGGGAAACAATGTGAAAGAAGACTCGTCAGACCATATTACTCGCTTCCATTGCTCTATAGTCCAGGCTTTATGACTTAAATACCACCTTTTCCTGTTACGGGCATTAGCATCACTGATGAGTGGCTTCTCAATTGCAGCACGGCCAGCAATTCCCTGTTTATGTAGCTCCCTTCTAATTGTTTTGGTACTCACAGGGTTCGGTAACACAACATTCATTTCAGCAGTAGCTTTTGCAGCTGTGGTCTTCTTAGTTTTCGTCACAATTGCCCTTAATGATCGTCTGTCACGATCACTCAGGACACACTTTCGTCCGCGCTGTGATTTAGCAGATGATGTTTTTCCGCTTTTCAAATATGCGGAATAAATCTTCGATACAGTACCTCTTGAAACACTAAACACCTCGTCTACCTTGCTTACGGAAGCACCCACCATACGTGCTCCAACAATTTGCCCACGTTCGAAGTCTGTTAACTCTGACATAATGCAATAACAACCTCACATAACAGTACTCCGACAACAACTGAACTGTTTAGCACATTTACGAAGTTGTATAGGTGGCGTCAGTAGTCAAAAACGCCAGCGCCACCTACATATTTCATTAAAATCAATCTTTCTTTTCAAACATACATTTCACAAGGTGTTTCCATATTTTTGTCCATCCACTGTATCTCGGACATCATTATAAAGTTAACTGAACTTATACATTTCCGTTATTGGAATACTAATTTAAATTTCTTGCCACGCTATATCTTAGTGAATTACATTTTGGTATCATATACTGAAAGGGATTTTTCGCCAACCTTGCCGCTTGCCTTCTTGGTGTAATGGAAGTATGTCTGTCTGGTAATCGAGAGGTCCAAAAAACGAACCCCTGTGAGGACACCGCTGATTCTTCTTGTTTCCAGACACTACATATCTGTATAACCGTAGAAGAGTCGTCTGAACTTATCCTTCAAGTATATAATTTCAAAAGATAATTCTATCCTTGTAAACGAAGTTGCAGAAATCTTCTGAATGGATTTAGATTTTATCATTTTTGCAAAGTAATTTCGCAAAACTTTAAATTTTATTTTAAAACATGGTGGACGATAAAATGCTGGATCATTAAGAGGGAGGGAATGTACGGGATTTTTCGCCTTCTTTACGGGATTTTTCTTCTTCTTGCGTGTCTTCATGGTTAATGGAAAGCACGTCGAGTTAAAAATCGGGAGGTCCAGAAGTTTGAATCCTGACTAAGGCATTGCTTATTTTTCATGTTTTCTGCCAGATATAAATACCTAATATCTGTACAATATTTTATAAATAGCACCACTGAGAAATTACTTCGTAAAAATAATAAAATCTAAATCCTTTCAGAAGATTTCTGCAACATCGTTTACAGGGATAGAATTATCATTTTAAAGGATATACATGACAGATAGGATTTTTTTATCCCTAAAAAATCAAAAACGTGATATTTGTCCTTAACACTTTGCAAAATAATAAGGACAACAAAATTTCATATTTCATCCTTGAGCAGTAAATATTCCACCAATTTATCACTGCTATAGTATAAAACTATCTTATTCATAAATTTCACGAATAAAAGGTACGAAAACAATCACCTGCAGTAAAATATTGAGTAGTATTATATGTTAGAAAAATCTGAAACATATGCATTATTTTGGAACATATTTACTTCCAATTAACCTTCGCTTTTTTTAACAGAATATTTGATTAGATAATTATAAGGTATTTTCTCTCTCCTTCCAGCATGCCTCCGTTGTGTAACGATAGCACTTTCGGATTGCAGCAGAGGTCCATGTTCGAATCTCAGCGAGGGCATTTCTCATTTTTCACCTTTCCTGCTCCAAAATAACCTAATGCCTCTACAGTGAAGCCCGAACTAGGTGGTGGACAATAATTTCTCAACACATGGATTTGGCGATGGGTTCCCTAAACCCCAGCCGCCCTTTAAAAGGGGGAGTATATAAGGTATTTTCTCCCTCATTTCCAGCATGCCTTTATTGTGTAACGGTGGCATAATCACCGCGTATTCGAGAGTTAAATGTTCCCTTCCCGGCGAAGGCATTGCTCATTTTTCATATAGTCCTGTTTCAAAATAACCTAATGACTCTATATAATCATTAATTGGTTAGAAAGGTAATTTGATTAGAAAGTCACTTTAATGAAATAACAATAGTCATTTTCCGATCCTAATCCTACATTTCATCAAACCCTTCTTTAAAAGTCCTTATACTCTCTCATATTTCCTTGCAGAATAACTGAACTTGTGTATGACATCAAGGTCATAGGGTATTAAACAAAGACGATTACAGATAAAATGTAAATAGAATATCGAACTAATCGCAGGACTGACAATTTGTAATAACCTAGAAGAAAAAAGGGCTAGGAATGCGAATGTGACAATGAAATGGTTTGATTTTGTTTGCGTAACTATGACAAAGCACGCAAGATCTATCTACCTAAGGGAAGGGGGTCCCTTCGTGAAGGATTTTTTTAAGAGAAACTGTCTTGTATATACAATACACATAAGGAAAACCATGAAACACAGTGAAATGATTCTGCGTGATAAAGATGAGCTGTAAATTGCCAATACAGTATAAGGAAATAGTAAATAAAATATTAAACTTAACAGCGAAGTAGCATTTCATTGGATATCCTTTTTTAGTATAGATCTGAGGCGGTTCTAATGTGTGCAAAAGCTGAAATCTCATTATTTAAGAAATAGTACAATATACATTCTTTTTTAATTTTTTAAGTTATAATTGAAGCAAAGTTAGTTATAATTGAAGCATTTTTTTTCCTTGGGATATATGCAGTAAAAGAGAAATACTCTGCGTACCTACTAGGACATCGAAGGTAGATGACCTTCATTTCTTACATAAATCTAACCGGAAAGCATTAAAATACCCTTCTTACTAGAGAAACTGGTTTTCACACCAAGAGGTAGCCCATTATTTCTCCTTCAACAGAAATCTAAAATGATAAACATGGAGGTAGAATTTACCGCTATGATTTTTATAATATAGCCTTCACTTTTAATAAGCAATTCTAAATTTGGCCATCGTTGTTATATTATTACTAATTCAGTAATAATAATAGTAATATTAGCCATTATTATAAGTATTATTACGAGTACTATTGCCCATAACTTACATAGCGCATACTTTTGCGTTCTACATTTTGCGACTAGAATTTATTAGTTCATTTTAAATTTATTCATCATTATTGTATGCAAATAAATCTTATATTTTAAAATTCATCCCACTTAAAATTCACCCCCATTTGTAGTATATCTTGTAGCTTGCACTTCATTAAATATGCTGAAACTTTGCATGTATTTTACAGAAGACAAACTAATACGCATTTTGTAGAATATGAATTTTATAACATTAAACCCATATTAGGAAATTAATTTTATGTTATAAGTGAGTAAAAATATTCTTAGATTTTAGTAATGCTAACGTGATATTATTAGATTAGGATACTGATATCGTTTATTGTATTTTTATAATAGTCGTAAAAGGCACTTGACATGTGCAAAATTTATGACGTGATCTCTGACTGGTGAAAGGAAGATAGACAGCAGTCTTTTAGAAATGCTATAAGACAGAATTCAGACAGCAGTACAGCTATTACTGTTGTCACAGTCCTAAGGCGTAAAAGCCATTAACTTGTTATATCTGTGCCTTCCGACCAGTCGTGCAGAAACGTTTAGATTGATCGAAATGGCATTAGACACCTGGGTGCCCGGGCGTAAAGCCTCAAATCTAATCCAATCAAAACTTTCGAAATTTTGTACAAGTTAACCTAAGAGGTATATAAGGTATAAGGACTTAAGACTTGCTTAGGTACTTTATTGCACTTCCTTAACTTTGATTGTTCCGATGAATTACCATCTTCACAACTAAACAGAAGTCTAAACTTCAGGAAAAAAGTAAAATTGATCCAAAAGGTTTATTAGACTACTCCTCATAATTACAAACTGAAATTAACGAAGAGTAGCTGCCGCTATTTGTGGGGTTTCAAGAACCTAGGTATTTAAATCAGTAAGGCATACAATTAAGATTTAACCATTTTAACTCTTTCAGCAATTGAGATTCGAAACCTAAACTCTAACAAACACATACTTTTCTTACCAATCTACAAGGCAGGCAGCTCTTCTCAGGATAATCTGTTTATTAGGTGGTGACACAGGATTCCCAAGTTTGCTTGGCATTTAAATTCAGGATAATTTGCATTCTGGTGAAGGCAGACGACAGGAGGTACAGAAAGGAAGTAGATAAAAAATGACGTGTTAGCTAAATTAAACCTGATCTGCTCTATAAAGGAATATCTTATAAACGTAAATTATGTGCAAACACAATATGCGAATTGCAATCCAACATTAAATGTATTATATATAAAACACTAAAAATAAAGGGGCTCCGTACAGTAATGTAAAGTAAAAAACACGAATGAAAATAAATATTAGTAGCAAAGCACAAAATAAAAAGAACCACGCAGTGAGGTAATTTAGCTTTCCGTTTTAGGAAAATTGCGGTGCATAAACCCTTAGACTATTATCTTCCTTCAAAATCTGATAATTAAAGCTGTCCACATAGTACGCAATGCTATGAGGACAAAGCTACATCAGAAAGCTTTATTTCCAATTACGTTTTCTTTCTAATTCAGCAATTTTAGGTTATTTCACCATTAGCCTGGAATTATTTTGTTATGTTGTCTTTTATGAGAAACAACATACGTTTTACGACTGCTGGGGTTTGCAATTAATTAAACAAGTGAAAGGGAAAATATAGTAGTTTCCTCACAAGGCTAGATGGAAGGGAAATCCTACTTGCACATAATTATCATAATTAATATGATACAGGAACTTCATATATGCGTAAAAAGGAGCCATTTCCTCTTCTCGACTTAAGAACAACTATGTCAAATTTAAAAGTATGAGGGAGGATACAGAGTCCTTTATGTTTTCTTACAACACTCTGAGTAATTGTTATTTCTATGAAACAAACGTCAGTATTAGCTTCGTAGCAAAGTAATTCGCAATTTAATGAGTCACGTAGAAGCAATTCTTCTGAATTTCGATTATTTACTTTACTCAGGGCTTACAGTTTGAATTTTACTTGAACTTCCTTGAGTGCTTATTGTCCATTGGGTACTAAAAACTTTCTCAATTTATTTCAGGTCCCAATTTTCTGAAAAGAGTAAATAAAATAATAAAATTTTATTTATACTCTGTCTACCAATGAAGGAGTGGATAAAACATTGAAAACTGGAAAGTTGTCATGGGATCGTTTCCTAAAAGCGGATTAGGTATTCGCATGCTTTTCTACAGCCAGTTAAATAACTAGTCTTTTAGGTTATATTCAAACCAAAAAAATATCATCAAATATTTATGCTATTTTTATGTGCTTGAGAACAATGTATTTCCTTGCTTTTTATTCATATTTTTTTCAATTTTACTTTTCCGATTTCTTACATTTTTTTTAAAATATCCTTTGGGTTTAATAGTAAGATATCTGACAGGCGCTTTATCAATAAAATATTTTTAGGGTTTAATTTAGAAAATTTTATATCTAGAAATGATTTTTTAAAAATTTTTTAGCGTTTCCTTTAGAAAATGTTAGACTCAAGAATGATTTTCTGATACATAAACTTTGGAAGTTTCACATGTTTACTATGCAAGATTTACTATCCAACTCTTACAGGAATTCCACTATTTCTGCTACAATTAGAATGTATTCATTAATTTACATTGAAATCAGACGCGAATAGAATTTTTGAATACTAATAAAATTAAAATATAAATTATGTGAAGATTAAATTTTATGATTCACATTACTATTACGAAAATAATCACAAATATTATTATGTTGCATTAAACAGAACGTAAATAGAAAATGTGCTGAATAGTATGTGCAAGAAATCTCACAGCAAATCTTCTAGAATATTTTATACTGTACACTTAGCTCATCTTTTCTCCAAACTGAATTCAATTCAACATAAAATTTCAAATTTTAGTATTTCTACGAATGGTAATTTCAAACCAATGCTTTTAACTTTATGTTTTCCCAAAGTGATAGGTTTCTTTCAGACACACTCAGTCGAAATCTCAGGGTAAATAGTTATTATGATACAATAACACGCCGAACAAATATTAATTTAGAAGTCAAACAACAAAAATAAGTGTTATAGTTTCAAATTTTCACAGAAATTTTGCTGTGAAAATTTGAAAATATAACGCTGATTTTTGTTGTTTGACTTCTAAAATAAATAGTTATCTTTAGTAAGTTACATAGTTGGCGTTTGTGGCTGTTCCCTTCTGTAACGTTGATACGGACTAGTTTCCCTTACAAAGCCTACCACGAAGGCATCCTTTCAGGCAGATAGCCCTGTAGGCTTTGCCCTATTCAAATAATTGACTAAACTAATCCTTCATTTTGAGAGGAAGATGAGTAAATTTAATTTTTACTGTTGAGCAAAATAAATAGATCAACAAGATTCTAGCTCGCTTTCGCACACAAACAATGTAGGTATTGTGATCCTAATAGCTATTTTATCAGTGGATATCAACGAATTGCATTCTCTTCCTTACGATAGAAATATTAATATGACTTAAAGGTCGGCTGCTCAAATTTATTTCATTCAATAGATAAGAGAGTAAAAATATCAATCAAAAGAGCTTATTTGCTCTGTGATATCCCTCTTTTTAGAGTAAGCTTTCTTACTGATTATCTCTTGCAGGATAAACATGTCAATGCCCTGAGAAATTTAGTTATATTGCTTGGTATTTGGTCAAAATAGCTAATTTACTTTCCTGTTTCTGTTTTTGCGTTTGCTTTAATTTGAAATTTACGCATTGTTACGATTTTG